GAGCATTCGCCAAGATACGGGATAGTTCTAGAAACAAGAGGGCGTGAGAATTGTCACGTGATCTCGATGATGCAACAATATAGAAGGGGGAAATTTTATAAATCATCTTTAATTTTGTAAAAAATTCTGAAAAATACGATTCTCAACTCAGATGTTGCAAATAGAAGCCATGTGAATGGTTAATTAATCTGCCACTGTGATAATCTATGAGCATAAGATATTTATAAAACTGGTAAAAAATACCAGGGTCAAAATCGAGAATGCTCTGATTGATGGTGGTGTGTTCATTTAGCGCAAACATACACGATGGGCTATTTGTGCTGTACCCGCCGCAGGCATCAACCCTCATATCCTTCCGCTGAGCCACCCTGGGGATAAATGAGTGGACAATTTGTCTAGATGAGTTAGAAATGATCATAGAGGGCGTTACCAGATTTCATGACGTTTTCATATTTGGCACGGTTATTGTAATTGAGCAGTCTTGTTGAACCGGTGAAAGATAATCAAATACCGCTTATTGTTTAAATTTGATCGTACTTAGCAGGTGCTTTAATTTTAAAAATAAATAAAAGGAAAGTAGTTTAACGTAACGCTTGGTTATATAGCCTTTACAGGCGTAAGTATAGTGAAATATTAAAGTAGATTTTGAGACTGCACATTTATTGATAATCATTGATTGAAAAGAAAAGTAGGTTTCGCTTTATTTAGTTTATACTTTAGTCTATTTCTTTTACTTTAGGCTTTACGAGTTGAGAACAATTTATATTGCATTTCCATACGATAATGCCAGGCAATGCCGAAAATATTCTTGATGGTTTCAAACTGTATCCTTTTGATTTTGCTTATCCTAGGCAAAACCAAAAAAATTAGTACTTCTAGTTGTACCACTACTGATATTATGCTATAGCAAAAGTTACCTGCCGTATTGTATTACAGTATATTTTCAGTTTCACAGAATCATGATTTGGTTTTAAATGTTAAGTTGTACGTCATTAGGTACATTCAGTGCTATATGGACAGTATAAGTAATGCTATAAAATGATTAAGGCTTCCTACACCATTAACAGCTTGATACGTCAGTATCAAGCGTGTACATCATGACACTGCCTATTTGCATCGATCATCTACGTTCATAATTTGTGTGAAGACTGAAAGTGAAATGCGAACAGCTTGAGATTATAATATAAATCACAAGTAAGTATTACATATTCTGGGGAGGAAGAAAATCTAGTATATTACTTTGTTTCCAATGTAAACATATGTGCTAATGTGTCAAAGTAATCGTAGGTGAACGATGTGAATGCAAGAAACATGGTATGAATTTTATTCTACATTGCGGTCTAATGAATTCCCTGAAGTGTACTGTTCAACAGCATTTATTTCACCATTACTTATTATTAATAATGTTATTATACTTATCTAGTATATAAAGAAAAAAGTTATTTACTCTCACTACCATAGATATTCCAAGTTTTTACATTTGTTGTCAACATCTGACATGCAATAAATTTGGTATTCCTGTTGCTAACAGTAACATCATGAATAGGTATACACATACATTCCCATTGAAAATTAATGTAAATTTTAAGGGATTCTTTAGACTGAGCTATAGTCATTCATTCATGTAAGACTTCATGGTCCAATTGTTAAACTATGTGGACACCATTTATCATTAGATGCCTAATGAAACAAAATCCTGGATATGTTTTTGCATTAATCTTGTAGTACTTCTTTACAGTAAAAGTAGAATCCTTTGGTTTAATAGGTAGACAAATTGATATAGAAGTATAGCTGTTTTCTGCAAATATCAGAGTTGATTTTTTTGTACAAGATTGTAAAACCTAAACAAGTTTCCCACAAAATCGTAGTAAGCTATGCTACTAATCATTACATCCTGCTGACCATTATAAATGATATTTTGATCAGTATTCTTTTTTTGATTGTCATAATGAATATAGATTAAGTCAAGTTTATTATATAGAGAATATGATATTTGGTGGTTTTCTTAAATGAGGAAAAGATTTATTGTTTAGTGAAACAGAAAGCCCTACATCATATATAACTGTTTAGTTTTATACATTTGCATAAACTTCTTAGAAAATTTAAAAGAAAACAAAGGTTGTAGTAGAAGGATTAGTCTTGAGTTTTAGGAATTAACAGATTGTATAGATATTTCTTTGGTTAACTTCAAAATGAAATATACAGTGGTAAAAAATTAGTTGTCAGTCAAAAGTTGTATAAGAAACTGTTGTAAGAAACAAACGTTTACTGAATATATGGCAAAGTGTATGAAAATAAGCTTGTGTACAGTAATCAATGTTTCTCATTTAATAAATTAGACTTGTACAGATCATTGAAATTCTGGAAAAATGGTTGTTTTTAAGTCATGCTGATGGGAAAAGTCCTGAAATTTCAATCTCAATGTAAAGATTACCCATGAAATAATTAGCTTAATTAGAAATAAATATAAAATAAAAAAGTTTAGTTATGGGAAGATTTGTTTATATTTTGTGTTGTGCATTGTGAATTTCATGCCCAACACTAGCTGAGACTGTTGTACTTTCTTTTGGTAGGCATGTTGGATGAATTAAAATGCCATGTTAATCCTGCATGGCAGAGTTTGAGAGTCCTGAAATTTTTTCCAGTATTTAGTTATAGCTGATAATTTGGATAAAATATTGCACTTTGTACCTTAATATTGGTGAAAAACAATGCAATATCTGTTTCAAATAGGTGCTTTATAGTACTACTTATAGCAGAATTACCTTCTTTTTATGTAAAATGTATATTTTACTAACTTAAATTACTTTATGGAAAAATTAATTTTGCAAAGACAATTTTTAAACTATTGATGTTACATTTGTTCTTATGATATATAATAAAATTATAAAAAGCAAGGTGACAGAAAGCTTTTGAGATCACTTCTCACCTACAAAAAAAAATACCTTTGAATCAAACATCTTTCCAAAAACGTTGATAAAATTTAAATTGCATTACCCTCATACAACTAATTGTCAAGTTATCTAAGTAGAAGTTTGCATCAAGATTTTTAAAGCTTAAATGTATTGTTCTTAATACTTATTTTTATGGTATTGTAATATAAATATGGTTCTGGTTTTGGGGTTTTACCCAATTAAACCCAATTCCCCCACCTCCAGTGTTTTTTTTTTTTCTTTTTAAATTGGGTTAAACCCCAAAACTTCCTGAATAGACAGAAGACTGTATATATATATAAATGCTTGTGCAGTTTCTCTGATTCAAACACAACGGTAAAGAGCTGGAATCAACAAAGGTACATTTACTTGCTTGTTAGAAAAATGTGGAATTTGATTTTGATTTTGCAAGTATTAGAGCCATATAGCTTTGCATTTTTTGTTTCTCTTTCCACTAAAGTCACAAAGCTAGTGCTCTGTTACAAGTAATAAAGGTAATAGAATGTTAGAATATATATAGACATACAAGATTATCAAGAGGATCTATATATGGAGAAATGTCTGTGCTTTCTCTGTGCTGTAAACTGAAAATTTGATAAGAGGACATAAGTGTAAGATTTGGAAAAGACAGACTAGTCTTCAGTTAAGACAGGTTTATTTTTCTATCAGGGTGATTTAACTGGCAATTTACAAGAGTTTAAGAGGGGAATTGATGATTTACTGAAAAATAAGAGTGTGTTTAAATTTTTAGTTGTCTCAAGGGTGGATGTATAAGGTAAGCCTTGAAGGGCCAAATAATCCCTTGTTGTTTATAACATTAAATTGCTTTATAAAGGGAATACTTCCTAAACTTCTTTCTGGCGTTTATCATTAAACCTAGTTAAATGAAATGCTTAGTATTTATTATTCATCAATTTGGTAACTTGGCTGAAATAGTCTTTTCAAATTATGTGTATAATAAATAATAAGTAAACTATATGTGAGATGTTTGGATGGATTATAACATGAAACTTTAAATAATTGAAACTAAAGATATAATTTGTATAAGGATATGTTATCTCAGTAATTATTAATAAGAACTTCCAAGTGAAAATAAAGAATAGTATATATATAATACAATGACAACCTCACTATATCTGCTATATCCAGTGCTGATGAGACCTTTTGCTCAATACCAGGGTTCATCAGGCTGCCTGGGATACAACAAACATTGTAGTGCTTGAGATACCATAGATGTTGGAAATGGTGGTAGGGATCTGTTGGGTGAGTGCCCCCACAGGTTTTAGGATACAGGAGTGGGAAGTGGGCACTCCCATAGGTTTTAGGATACAGAAGCAGGGGTATCTATGACACAGCAAAGGCTGAACAATGTATTGCTCTTGCATTGTCACAAGGAGCGAACTGATGCACTGGATCTTTTAGCAGTTGCCAAGGTCTTCATCATAACTAATGACAAAAGAAAGTATCTATAGCAACTACAACTAGTTTTAAGTTTGTAGCTTTAGTTGAGAACTCCAAGGTAGAATATATCTTACTTAATAAGGTCGCATGTACATGTATAGTACTTTACAGAAGACTACTTGAGTATATCATGATAATACACTTTGCTATCAATTCTGTGGCCTAGTACTTTTAAAAAATTACATGTAAATTTCCGAAACTTTGAAAGTATTTTTAATGTCAAATACTTAGCAGTAAATAAAATTGCATTTTATAACACATTATTACATTACATGAAACATTACTTATATATCAGAATCATGCAAAATGCAGTTATGTATATATATATAAAACCTGATAAAAATAAAAATATTCTGAGGAAGTCCCACACATACCTTTCATTCACCTGCAATGTGTACTTAAGACCTCCAACCACCCGCATGAGGCTTGCTCAGACACCTATGGATGCTATTTATATTAATAAATTGCTTAACAACAACTGTTATGGTGTGAACAGGATTAAATTGTAGAAATAAAGGTTTCCTCTTTAAGGTAGTGACATGTATAAAAAATATTTAATATTACTGCTCTACGTATAATCTACAAATGTAATTAGAAGGCATACCACATTCTCACACAGACTCCATGGCAATAGTAAACTGTTCCCGTGAACTTGAAATGATTCATTACACCAGGCCGTAGGTACAATATGATCTGACTGTTAGACAAAATCACATTCTACCCTGTGCTCAAGATATTACAAGTTTTCAAGCCAAGAAATAAATATAATTTATAAAAGCTATTAGAGTTACTTAGCTAATTTCAAATCTTATAATTTTCCATAAAATGATATTAATTTCAAATAAACTAACACCCAGGGGTAGTTAGAGAGAGAAAAATTCCTCTAATTTAATCAAAACGAATTTTATGACATTTGATATATTTAGCATCATCATCATTTTTTTAATATTGTCAACTATCTTTGGGTGAGGGTCATTCTAACTCAGCACATACTTTGCATGACTATGGCCTTAACCTGGTAGAATAGTGTTAAGAGATTTTTTTAAATGATTTTTGTCAAGATAAAAGTTTTAATTTAACTCTTGACTTCAGAAACTGGATGAACCTTAGAGATGCAGATACTGGAAAAATTTTGTGGCAAGGAACGGAAGACTTGTGAGTTATTTTAATTAATATTAACTTACATGCATGCACTCTTTTTACATAAAAACTATAAAAGCATGTAATGAGATTATTTGCACTTGAAAGATTCAGTAAAATTATAGTGTCAATTTTACTATAATAAGGAAGTCAAAATTTTAAAATATAAGTGAATATGTCGTTTAAATGTTGAAATCAGAAATGTAACAAATGTTTATAGACCATTACTGTACATAATTGTACAGTTTGGAGATAATGTACTATCATTATGGAGTATGAATTTACATTTCCAAAATCACTTTATGTTGTGCATAAGACAGTTCAAAATGTGAAATGAATAATACATGCATTGTAGGTTGTTAGATTTCTTGTAAAAGTATTTTAAATACCACAAAACATACATTATACAGCTCATTTGCTTTAGTTACATGAATTTTATTCCTCCATCAGCAAAAACTCCATAATTATTATTTCTTTCCTGTTTTAAAATCACCACTTCCCTTCTGTCTAGACTTTCCTATAAATCCATAATCTTTTGTAGAGGCAGTATGTAACTTGAAGTCACTTGCCTTTGTATCTATTAATAAAATAACTTGTGCATCTTTATAGATACACTTAATGTTTTGTTACAATTTTCATCTTGAAGAATTAAAATGTTTTATAACATGGTAATACAAAAAAAATCTTTAGTATGGACGTTTCAGAATTTCCTTAAATTCCATTATCGGCATTAATATTTCAAAATAAAATTTAGTGCATATATATATTTGAACTACAAAAAACAACATTTAGCATAGAGCGAGTTTTCAAATTCAATCGGAAGATTAGTAAGAACAGATTTAATTGGTAACAGTATAATGGAATGTACGATAAAATTTGCAGCATACAAATGTTTAATAAATAACATTGTCAAGAGAAACTATTATAGAGAAAGGCTCAAATATAAGTATAAACGCTGTATCTTTAAAATAATAATAAATATAAAATAAAACACTGCAAATCTGATTATTTGATATTTATTATTATTTTAAAGATACAGCGTTTATAGTAAAAGAAGAAGTGTCAAACTACTACCATCCCAAAGTAATTGTATAACCATGCTTATGTGCTTTATTATGTAAATCTAGTTTTAAACAAAGCATCATAACTTTGAAATATCTTTCCAAAACATACTTACTTCTGTTGACACTTATAGCTATTACTCGACCTCCAGGGTTTCTTCCTTTGCTTATCCAAGCATTGATCTGATTTTTTCTCTCGTGCTCCAGTCTTTTATACCCCACTCAATTGCTCTTGGCAATATTTATTTGTCTCATGATACTCTTCATCTACATTAACTGTATGTAATCACCTCATTCAGATAATGTTATCACTTTTTCTAAACAAAGCATTCACTGATGGGTTTCTTAGTAGCATCTAGTTCAGTTTCGTTAAAAAAAATTGCCACTGGCAAACTGATACACAGTATAAATTCCCAGATAATTATTTCTGACACAGGGGCAAATCACATCTCTTCTATTCCATCTCTGATATCTAGTCACACAACATCGGGCAGTCACTATCGGTTGAGATTGTCAGTGATCTTATTTGTTGTGAGATGAAGATGTATATTCAGTTCAGTGATGTTCCTCCAGGGGGTTCTGAGGCTGCAATTGCAGGCGATCCTGGATATTCTGGAGAGAATTTGGATTACCTTTTTCCTGTGCCTTTATTTGTTCTGTTAGCTTTTCAGTCCCTTGTGGGACAGTAATAAGCCTATGGACTTACATTGCTGAAGTCCTGGGTTTCATTTCCTATCAGGGACTTGGCAGTTGGCCCAATGTTGTTTTGCCCTAACACAATAAAATTACCTGACAACATGTTGTTCCTAACAACTGTAATAAGTCTTTACAAGACATCAAAAAAGAGGCCATTGGTAACTCTATGAAAAAAGTTACATAAATATTTGCTTATTTAAAAAAATATTTTCTGTGAATGGTAATACCATTGACATAAATAATTTTAGTACATCTGTAAGCTGTTGTTTTAATGTGTGAACTCATTCTACATACACTAATATAGTCTTGTATATCCTATAAGTAGGAAAATCATTCTTTAAAAAAAATAATTCTCTGTATCCTACTTCTTTATGAAAATATTAATAAATACTTGTGATATTATAAGCATAATGGATTCATTAAAATTCAGTAAAAATAACACTATCAATCACATACCTTTAGTAGTATATGGGTTTGGAACTCTTCAGACATTTCTTCAACCATTGCTTCTCATGGTAGCAAAAAATATAGGTTAGCCAGTGAAAGACCCAGTATTAAACCCACTGCAACTCCATTGGTTATACATATCACCATCAAAGTGAAAATGTGACTCTGCTAATAGTTACTGAAAAACTGACTTGGGAAATCTCATCATATCATTTCTATTTTCATAAATCAAATATGTTGCCAATTAAATGTCTTTCTCAATGGATTTTTTATATAGTGACTCAATGTCCAAACTACCACAGTACATGTTTTTATTGAATCTTAGGTTGTGCAGTACATTGGAAAACATAAAATTCTTTTTTTATGGTTGTATTAATTATTAGAAAATTAATACAAAAAATTCAACTGTAAAAGCTTTCATTTCATTATTATTATTGGCATCTATATTTGACATTTTTGGTCTAGTCTAATGACATTCATTATCAATCTTTGGATCACAACATGCTAGAATGACATTTATTGATACAAGATGAGTGCCTTAAGATAAGACCTTACGGATGCCATTCTGAGTGCAGTGTAGAAGTAAGGTGATTGGTGCAGGATTGTGGTAAAATTTAATGATGAAAGAAGTCTGTACAACAAGACTTTAATTATATGATTACAACACCAAATTAATATTTTCATGAAATTGCCATTAAATTGAAAGCTGTTTTGTTATTTGTCTTGAGCATTCTACTTACTGTAAGGACAATAATCATCTGATGTTAAAATTTTTACTATTATTGTGTTCTGAAACTAAAACCTATTTTCAAATATTTTTAAATAAGCCCAAAATATGTACTGTATCAATCACTTAATATTCATACAGTATTAAGTTCAATATTTTATCAAATTTTTTTCAGGTCAAAACCGGATCATGAACATGAAGGTGAGACTATAGTTAGTTACAGATACCATGTTAATACACACATATATAAATTTATCTTAAAAATATTTCAATTTTTTCCAACTGACTTGGCCTGTAGTTTAAGGGTTATTACTATGAGACCCGTGTTTAAGACAGTTGTCTAAAATTGATGCAAAAATGGAATTTGTGAATATTTAGAAAAAAAATTTTGTTATAAAAATATTGTGAATTTGTTGAGAAAATGAGGATTATGAAAAAGAAGAATATGAATCATTCCATTTAAGGTAAAAAACAGATATGGTCATATAGTGTGAAATATTTATACATGTCTGTTAAACATCTTAGTTGAAAAGTTGATTAGCCTTTGTAAGTTCTGCCTCAGATTCCTGCATTAATCAATGTAATGTATGGATAATTGCCTTTGTTACGTGTAGACAAAATAATAAGGTTGAGAAATTTTATGAATTTTATACTGTTAATGGACTATTTACTTTCACTTAAAATATAAACAAACAAACATCATAATAACAATACATAATGTTATTTTCTAATTACATGTGTTTATTCACTACAGTGAGTATGCCCTCTTTTTTTCTTTTTTTAAGCTAGTTCACATTCATGTTGGTGTATTATGACCTACCTATAATTGCAATTATTAAGATGCATTTATGACACTATAATACTTATATGTTAAATATTCACATTACATTGTAATTAGTTTAGAAATTGAAATCACAACAGTATATCTGTGAGGTGGTAAAGTGACTAATAGCAAACATAAATAGTGAGATTTAAAAATGTTTTGATTTTTGGCTTGTAAGCAAGATAAGTTTTGGAAGAGTTGCTGTTGATATTGTGTTGTTTTTTTTTATTAGCACGGGTACCAAAAAAAATTTTAAAATGTCGAGCTGTGTCAAGAGAAATAAATTTTTCATCCATTGAGCCAATAGAAAAATTTCGTCTAGAACAGAGAATCCTTTTCAAAGGTCGTTGTCTTGAAGGTAAGTGATCTTTTTCTAATACTTTACAGTTCACAAGACAGAAATTTATTGTAACCATAGATATTAAATTATATGTTGTATTAATTTTAAGTGAAAAGTTATCATAAGGTTCCATCTTAGAAACTGAATTAATGCATAAATTATAAAATGGTGTAATTTGATAATTTTTATCCCCACCACTGAAGGTGGATGGAGTTTGTTTTTACCCCTCTGTGTGTGTGTGTGTTTGTCAGCAAGATATCTCAAAAACTGCTGAATGGATTTTTATGAAAGTTGGTATACATTTGGACTATTACCCACTTTGAAATGATTAGTTTTGGAGGGTCAAAGGTTAAGATCACGAATAAAAAAAAATCCCTATCTGTTAACATGAGGTACCAATTTTTCACACTATTTTTACTCTATAGCTCTCCAAAATTGTTGGATTTTATTGGAACTTGTTGGACATATGTAGAATATTATTCCTCATTTTTCTGCCAGAAATGATCCATGTCCATTGATAATGACAGAAATACAGACACATTTTAATATTTTTTGAGAGCTGATTATGATCAGCATGTTGGAGGTATGTGCTCTACTGAGTGCCCCTCTAGTTTAAATAAATTTGTCATTTTAAACCTTAATTTATGTTATTTTTAATATTTATCACTGGCATGTGTATAAACTAAGGATTTAAAGGAGAGAGAGCAGTCTTGTTATTTTTTTTCTCAGTTGTCACAATAATTGGAGAAATATAACCACAATATAATCTGTATTTCTTGTCAAAAAATAAGTATTTAAAATTTTGTAATTTGATTTTATGAATTAAGAAAACTCTGGGCTGGTTTAGTTAGCATTTATGAATTCACTAATTAAGCATTATAAATTCTTATAAAACTACAAAACTTCCTTCAACAGGAGAGTCGCTTAGGTCTGTTTCATGACTTTTTTTTTTCATTAATCATACTGATGTATTCCAACCACGTGAAATGACAGAATATTCTTCAGTATTGTAGGTTCTGCTTAATGTTATTACTCCTGTTTTTTTAACTACTCATAATTGTTTTTGAAGTAATAGGACTAATTTAAGTATTTTTACATATTTAAACATACTTATTCTAGCTTTTAAGCTTTCAAAATCAGACATGGAGTATTTGTATTCATATTTGAATGCATTCAAATACAGCTTTGGGAGTACTTTTATTCAAATGCTTTGGTATGGAAAATTAAAGTATTTGTATACAATGGCATAGTATTCATATTCCCTGAATGATTTAGTGAATACTCAATATTGTAAGAGTAAATGTCAACTTTTGTACTAATCAAATTTATATACTTTCATTATCACATCTGCAGCACATTAAATCAGGTCCATACTCTCCAACCACCTTAAAAGTTATTGTATTACATGGTTATTTATCCAGCCAAGTCACGTGAGTGAATTTGAGATGGCTACTAAATTTCATTCAGTAGTACATGGACACTTCATTCTTCCAACTGATAAATCTGGTCACGTTAAGGCAAGTGTAAATATTGTGACATACTTTCTACTTCAGGAAAAACCGCTTCTAACCTGCTGATACATCTGAAGGTAAGCCTTTTTATTATTTTTGTTAATAGTAACTATATTCTCTGTAAATTATACAATATAACATAGGTAAACTAAATTTTTCATGTGTGTTAAACTATATTTTTTATTATTTTCATTTATTTAGTTTTATATGTTTTTATTTTATTATAAACTGTGTTCTATAATATATAACTAAGATATGCTTTTGTATTTTTAGTGCAATAATGAGGCAGAGCTACAGAAGTATACATCTGGCTCTGGTACTTCTGCCCAGGTGCAGCAACCTACAATAGCAGTGTACTGTACAGAATCAACTAAATATATGTCTACACACCCTCATCAGGAGTACATCACTAACAAACTTGTCAACTTTATTGTCAGTACACTGCAACCCTTCTTAGTGGTGGAATCAAAAGATTTTCAAGATCTAATGGCAGCTATGGATTCTCGGTATATTCTTCCCAGTTGCAAGCATCTGTTGACACTGTTAATAGAGAGCAAGTGTGATGAAGTCTAACAAAAAGTCATTTCTCTACTGCAACTTGTACCCAACGTCAATGTCGCTGAGGATATTTGGAGTAGCAGACAAATGTGCAGTTTTCTTGGAGTCACTGGTCATTTTATACTTGACTGGAAAATGCAAACAGTCATGCTGGCATATCAGTGTTTCAAGGGGCATCACACATCTGATAATATTGCAGCTTAATATTATGAAATAATATCTCTAACATCAACAACAAGGTGTCATATGTGATATCTGATAATGCATCCAACATGAGCAAGACTTCTGCTTGTCTGGGTTTGAACGACAAACAGTACATAGTGTGAGAGATGGTGATAGCTCATCTACAGACAGTGACTCAGAAGTTGAACTTTTGGATGAATCTAAATTGGCAGACAATTTATCCAAATTTCTTCCTAAACATGACCTCTACTTTTCCCACACACTACAGCTTGTGGTCAGGGATGGCATGAAAGAAGCTGGATCACTGCTAAAAGTAATTTCCAAAGCATCAGACATTGTGTCCTACATTTGAAAATTAACACAAGCAATTGATTTACTTGAGGGAGAGGCCAGAGTTCAGTCAGTAACCCCAAGATGATGGAACTCAGAAATTAAAATGATTAAGTCTTTACTGAAGATTTCCCAGGGGAAGTTGGATAATCTAAATACTGGTTCATCAAAACTTACCTTTCATGATCGAACTATGCTTGCAGATTTGGTGACAATACTGACATCTTCTGAAGAGGCAACAGATTTCACCCAGGGTCGGAACATTGTTATCTCCAGTTATGTAGTGCCATATGTTTATGGGGTGATAACTGAGGTTGACAGCATGCTGTCCAGATATAATTTCAATCTTATCTCTGCACTGAAGAAATATGTTCATGCCCAGCTGACTCAGTATGAGTAGCAAGTGTCTTCTGCTTGACTGTGGCATTGGATCCCAGATTTAAACTTGACTGGTGTTTCACCAGACCTATGGTTTGTGAATCCAACTGAATGTTTCTGCAGCAAGAAGTCAATAAAGTTTCCTCAACAAATAATCCTACAACCATGGAACCAAAAGAGGACTGTAAATCCCCACCTTGCAAAAGAAGTAAGATTTTTAGTTTCTTTGCTACCTCTGAGAAACCAGCCACCTCATCTTCAGAGGATACAGAGATCAACACCTACCTCTGGTCCTTGAATTCCTGATGAAAGCAACTCTCTAGATTATTGGAAGATCCATGAAAAAATCTTTCTTACCCTATCTATAGTAGCCAAATGCAACCTGAGTGTTCCAACATTCTTTGCCCCCGGTGAGTATCTGTTTAGCATTGGAGGCAAAACCCTAATACCTGATTGCTGCCACCTAACTGACATAAAAAAACAATAGGCAGTTATGGTATAATATAATATCCTCTAAAAGTATATTGTGTTCTAAAACTTCGTTATTGCATTTTTATAAATAAAAGTATTGAAATGTTATTATTTGTTCAAATTTTGTTTGTTTCAGTTTCTAAAAAGTTTGTTCCGATACGGTACTTCCCTCCCCTCACTTTTCCCATTTTGTATTGCCCTCTATATATGCAAACTCTTTTTATAACACACAATACAAGCCTTCTGCAACATGTCTCTCATGCAAATCATCATGCATGATCTCTCCACCAGTAGGAGAGTACTACTTATACATGATGCATGTAACTCCCTCTATGTGCCACTACTGAACTATCACTTCTTGAGTGCAGACATCTTTCTTTTGAAACTCTTTACCCTAGAAGTGGTTTAACTTTATTTAACTTAATTTCATTTCATTTACTTTAACTTTACTTCACTTAATTTTCACTTTAATTTGAGTGCTTCTGATTTACATGTGTTTGCCACAACTTTTCTGTTTATTGGGTATCAAGCATGAATTCCGAAGTCAATGTTACCACTTCAGGTACATAGCCTTTGTCTGTTTCCATACTTCAGGCCACGGGTACAGGCGACTCGTCAGGGGTTTAATCACCCTTTATTTGCAGGGAGATTGAGCATTATATGGCGCAACCCTTGTCTTCTGCTGTTGCCCCTCTTCCTCCTGAGCCTTTCGAGCCTGGCTAGGCTGACAAGAGTTTTGATCATTTGTTCCCTCCCCTGGAGTTTGCTGTGCCTTCCAAGTCCCTAACTAAGAATTCTATTTGGCCCTCATTGGTTTTCCCAGATTTTATATCTCAGCTATGTGATGTTTTTTTTCATGCCCGTATTTCTTATTGCATTAATCGACCTCTCAACCTTATTTAGTTTTTCCTACGTCCCCTGATATTCCAGTTCACACTGAGCATTTTACTGCCCAATTGGATGATGGCATCAGTATTATCTTTGGGTGGATTCTCCATATTTAAACATATTTGGGGGACGTGTGCCAATTCTCCTGTTTATCTTAACCATGCCAAGTATTCCCACCTTTGTCTTACCGACAACTCTTTTGCGATACCTCTTCTTGATCCACCTCCTGTCTGAGGCTCTTTGCTCATCTGGTGAATTTCGTTCATTGATAGAGCCCTTTCTTCTCCGATGTTTGGGTTCAAAGTTTTATCAGAGGGATTTGTCTTGCCCTTTCTTACCCCTTTACCCTTGTCTAGTATACCTGTTTCCTTTCCTTCTCCTCAGGATCCCTTGTCACACCAGCATCTATCCGAGGCAGTACCCGACCTCCTGACACAACAGGCTATCAAACCTGCTCCATGCAGTTCGTGGGGGTTTTAATCCTGGCTGTTTGTGGTTCCTAAACAGTCCAGGGACTGTAGGCTGGTAATCGGCTTGTACCGCTTCAATCAATTTGCTCACGCTTCACCATGGAATCCTACCTTACTCTTCAGTGGGCTTTTTCTCCGGGTCTTTGGATGACCAAGATGGATGTCTCCAATGCTTATTTGCATATTCCCATATCAGAGCATATTCATCTTTATCTTTGATTTGTTAATCATGCGGTGGTATACCAATTTTGTGCCCTACCCTTTGGACTGGCTTCAGTGCCATAAAGTTTGTTTCTGGTGGTGTGCACCTTTTCCTTCCATCTTCATACCCTTTTGTTGCACGTTCACTTTTATATGGAGGACTTACTGCTTCTTGCTCATTCCGAATAAGATTCAGCCTGTTATGCTATTCAGCTCCTTCTCAAGGCTTTGCAGGTGGGCTGGTTGATCAAATTGGAGAAGTCCTTTATTCAATCTCCCCAGAACCTTGTTCATCTGGGTGTTTTCTTCAACATCCATCTCACTCAGGCCTAACCTTCTCCCCTTTGGCTCTGTTCTATGGAAATTGCCATTCAGAACACCCTGTCTGCTCCTTCAGTTTCTGCTTGCAAGGCTTTATCACTTTTGGGATGTAGTCATGTATGATGCCTCTCATACCTCTTGGCTGGGCTCATTTGCAATCCCTTCAGTGGGCTCTCCACGACTGGTGAACCTTGCTCGGGATCCCTTGGATGCTCCTATAATCCTTCCTTCCTTCCTTGTGGATGGACAAGGCTTGTACATCACTGGGTGTCCCACTTCCTCCTCTGTGGCTAGACTTACATCTGTTCACAGATTTATCTCTACAGGGCTGGAGTGAATGGGTTGATCTCCAGAAGTATTCAGGTTGTTGGTCTGTCAAGGAATGTTCTCTTCATATCAACGTCCTTGAACTCTTAGCTGTTTGTTGGGCTTTGGATCACTTGTTTTCCATCTCCAGAGGTCATCTGGTCATGATCCATTCAACAGTGGTTGCTCATATCAATCACCAAGGTGGCACCCAGTCACAATACCTGTGTTTTTGGATCTTGGACGTTCCCCTTTGGGCCCACAATCATCACAATTATTTGATGGCTTGTCGTGTACCGAGTTCTTTCAACCTAGTAGTGGATCATCTTTCCTAATCTCACTGGGTTTATCTGATGGAGTGGTCCCTTCATCCCCTAGTTTTCGGTTGCTTTGCAATAGGTGGGGTATTCCTCATATTGATGCATTAGCCACCACCCTCTATCACAGTTACCTTGGTTTTGGTCCACAGTTCCCCATCCTTGGGCTTTGGCTATAGATGCTTTCAGCCTGGAATGGTCACACCAGTTCCTTCATGTTTATCCTCCTATTTGGTTACTTCATCGAGTAGTCTCCCTCATCCACATCACTCTGTGCAGAGTCTTTCTGAGTGCTACTTACTGGCCCACTCAACCATGGTTTTCTCAATTACCCCATCTTCAGTTGCACCCTTCCATCTCTCTCTTCCTTTATTTCCCAATCCTCCTTCATCAACCCCAGTCCCTGATTCTGCATCCCATCCTTTACATCCTTCATCTTCATGCCTGGCTTTTATCTGATCTCTGGCGAGGAGATCAGGTTTCTCACATCGAGTATCATCTTATTTATCTGATTGAGTTTGTCCTTTATCCATGCCTGTGTATCAGTAAAATTGAGTGTTTTTCACTCCTGGGCCCTGGCTTGAAGTATCCCTGCTTCTTTTTGCATGCTCTTCCCATGGCTCCGCATGCTCACCTTGGAGAAGGGGTGTTTCACAAGATCACTGGAGTGTGATAACCTCGTGATATTTGCTTCATAAATAGGCCCGTCCCGGACTGTACCACCCAGTAAAGCAGAAGGAGATAGCTGCCCATCCCTGCCATGCCTCGATTGAATAAATCGGTTTGGTCTGCTTTTCAAAATAGGGTTACGTGATAACTCATTGTACTGTCTCAGCTGTAGAGATCCCTCCAGTTTCTCCCACCTCTTTCTTCCAGTGGAGTATGAGAATCCTTACCATTTACCAGTTTCAAGCCACTGTATTAGTTGACAATGGAGGCAGCCTGCTGGATAGGTTCCACACAGATGGCTATAACTATTCAGTTCAGAGTAGGGTGGTGGTGTTCTACTGGTGTTGGAGATGTAATATCCTCCAGATTGAGTGACACATATCACAAAGTGAGATGTCTCAATGCAGTTCACCCCCTTCGATTGGGTGCCTTCATCCTACCCTCGTGCAGTTGTCAGTACCCTGTGGGCTGGCTTTTGGATATTGAATGAACCAATCAACACATAGGTTTGGTGTTGTCCAGCTTCTGTGTAGTAGGTCACTAAGGGTATATGTGGAATGTTTCTGTCCTGGGCACTTCCTCATTCTCTCTTGCAATGAGAATACTATTGACCTTTGGACGTTTTGGACCAGTATTATGTTTACAGAAGTTGATTCCATGCGATGACTTTCCTTAGATACCGGATGACACATTCCTGGATCCCTAGCTCAATGCTAATCCTGTGTCATGCCCTGGAGTTGGTGTTTTCCTCAGTCAAGATTCTGAGGTTTGAGGTAAAGACAGTATGAGCTTCATCCTACCCTTGCGCGGATATTGGTACCCAGCAAGGAAGTTTTGGATGTAGTTGACTTACAAAGTACGGTCTGTTGTGCTCTAGCCAATCTATACCATGGGATGCATCCTCCATTACCAACTTTCCTTATGTTTATGTGGGATTAACTGTCTGCATTTATCCAGTTGGGATCACATTCCTGAATTATCCTCTCCCATTCAGTTGTGCTCTCTTAATTTTCTGCCTCGTTAGATTGTAGCTGTTCATAGCGAGAAGATACCTGGTTCAGAAGTGGTGCAGTGCCCCTCCTCAGATCATAAAATCTGTTTCTTGGAAGAATTCTTTTGGATGCTTCCCGTGCGAGGACGTCTGTTTTTCCCTCGCTTTGGTCCCTATTCCTTTTCGTTGTGGGATTCTAGCTAATCTTGTGAGAAGAGGGAAGTACTGTACTGGAAGTTATAATTTTCTTATACTGAAAATGTATTTCCAATAGGTGCTTCCCTCTACTCCCTCACATTTCCCACCCTTCCTCCCCACAATCTTTCGGTGCCAAACCTTGAAGTGATAGTTCGGTAGTGTCGCATAGATGGAGTCACATGCATCACATGATAGTAGTACTCTCCTATTGGTGAAAAGACGATGCATGATGATTTGCATATGAGACATGTTGGAATCTTTGGTTCCAATAAAAGGGGGGGGGTGCAGAAGGCTTGTGGCATACGTTATGAAAAAAGTTTGCATATAGAGTGTAGTACAAAATGGGAAAAGCTAATTTTGTGAGTGGAGGAAAGCACCTATTGTAAATACATTTTCAGTATAGGAAAATTATAACTTTCATAAGATAAATGTATTGAAATCTTATTATCTTTTGTTTTATCATTCTTGCATATTACCTGACAAAGTATTCATGAATGAGTTCATGAATACATTCCTACGTATTTGTATTTGATTACTGATCTCCAGTATTCACCCTGTCCCTGTTATAAATAATAGCATTGCAATGTTTTTGATTGTGAGGTGGGGTCTGGGATCAGTAAAAAGTAATGCCAAGTACAGTTCACATAACGATATTGAATTAGTTTATTTCTTTTATAACATTTCTACCATCTATGTTCTATCCACTTTGACACAAGTTGTAAGCCTAAGTTCACAAACAACATTTCAACATAAATTCCTTGCTCATGGTAGTGCATCTAACATACATATAAGCTTACTTACAAAATTTCTGCAACTTTTAATTTTTTCATTTATTGATGTAAGCCCATTTGTCAGTTTCTTGGAGGAAAAAATATACATAGTTTATCAGCTTAGGAAATGTAAGTAGATAGACATAGTTTAAGTATAAGTCATATAATCACAGATCTGTTAAACAATAAACTAAAACACATAGATCTGCTTATGCAAAAAGCAGCTTTCTTGGTGAATGGAAACTTTGAAAGAGAACACATTTGTTCAGAAATTATGATAATATATCAGCCTACAGAGGGTTGAATATGTTGAATTAAAATAATTTTTGGGCTTCACCACATTGTTATGATATATGTTAATAGGCCCTCTTATGCTATATCTGATGATTGTATGTCTTTATAATAACCATTTCTCCCTGCATACTTTCAATACCCTGGCTAGTGTATGAGGACAATAGTTTCCAAGCTCCTGTTTGAACAGTCTCATTGCACAGAACTATACACTGCATCCAGTAACTTGACTTTTATGTCTTCATATAGTACAGCATGAACATCCATTTTATTCTGCAGCTGTTTGAGGTATGCAGTGGTTGAATGAATATACTGTAAAAGCAACTTGTATATGCATGACTTGTATTGCTTTTTCAGGTGATCGTCTAGCTTTATTATGTTGCGTATTGTTGCCTGGAGAACATAGATGGATTTTGTCATACATTTTTGTGTTCCTGCATTTTCACCTGTTATATGATGCCATACTTTACTTACCATAATGTGGTACAACTTATTGCGAGTCTCTTTCTGGATGGTCCTGGTATCCTATATTGTACCATGTTCCTTTGGATTCCAGTGTGGTTAAGTATGAGAGATATCCCCATATTTCAAATTCAAAGTCTGTGATCTGAACACATCTTTATGATCTGAGTGTATAAATATTTTGCTTCAAAATAGCTGTTACATATCCTTCCCAACAGAGATCAGTTTTCAGTTGTATCACCACTTACAAAATGCTAAACAATGCCAAATTGTTGTTCTGATGATTCTGTTCCACCATGACTTTATATCAAATATGGTTGTCAAGTGACTTGCTGATTTGTGTATTTTAAATTGTTTTATAATGTACTCAACCCTGTATTATTACCATACATTTTATTTATTTTAGATAGAAGGTATTTAGTGAGGTAAAGATTTATATCAAACATGCCTATTTATTTTGCACGAAAGAAAAAATTGGATTTGATTCAACTTGTTGTGACTAAATGCACGTTCACACAAATAATTTATATGTTTATTTTTTTCTTAAACAGAATGGTTCTTTGAGTTTGGTTTTGTGATTCCTAACTCCACAAACACCTGGCAGTCACTGATTGAAGCAGCTCCAGAATCCCAGATGATGCCAGCCAGTGTATTGAAGTATGTAGAAAGTTTATAGTAAAGTAATTCAAACTAATCTGAATAATATATTTTCAGTGAATAAATAAGTAGAAAAATGCGAAGGCGATAAAATAAATAAATTTGACTTTTAGCAAAAATCACTTTTAAAAATTATAGGAGCAGTTTACTTGGCAACATTTCAAGCAAATGCTCTTTTTCAAACCAGAAACAAGCCTGTCAGTTAATGACAATTACAGGAACACTTTGAAATGAAACAATACACAAAAATAGAAGATAATGCCAGATAGAACTTTGGGAATTAAACATTATTAGAAATATAGAACAACTTTACATAGCAAAGAAAGAAATAATTTAAACATTTTAAGATAATATAAGAAGGGTAGTTAAAAAAAATTATAAAAAGCTGAAACATTTGTTAATACCAAAACACTTAAACAACCCAGTTTAAAATGTTTTTTTTTTATTGTGGTTCTTTTATTGGTGTTGGAAGGGGCATGACGTAAGGCAAGTACTTTAAAGTGCTCAAGAGAATAATCAGCTTTGTTGAAGTGCCAAGCTACGGGTTTATCTTGATCTTTAATCAAGATGCTACGTAAGTGTTCTCGTGTACATTCAGCGAGCATTCATCTGGTTTCACCTACGTAGATTTGGACACAATTGTTAAAAATAATACAATAAACTAAACATTTAGATGTGCAGGTGAAACGGCTATTCACAGAATACTTTGATTTAGGGCCTCTAACAGATGTTCTGTGATCAATGTAACTGCAAGTGTTGCATCTGCTCCTCTGAACAGCTCTACGTACCAACATGATTGATGATGCCGTCACACTCTGTTTTTGTGTATTGTTTCATTTCTAAACATTCCTGTAATTGTCATTAACCGACAGGCTTGTTTCTGGCTTGAAAAAGAGTGTTTGCTCAAAACATTGCCAATTAAATAAATTACCAACATAGATTTTAAAGGGAATTCTTCTCTAAAAGTCTAGTTTTTAAATGTTTTGTAAATATATTTTCAGGTCAACTTCATGTAATTTTAAGAAAGTAGTGGTTTAGAGTATT